TTATTAATTTTCTTTTCTTCCATTGTTTTGTCTCGACTGGGTCGGTCTTTTGGAGTGATGGATTGCAACTTCAAAGCTAACTAGTTACATCCACGCAAGGTGACTTGCTACAGATCTACTGACGAGAAAAGAAAGTGGTCGGACTCAGAGGATGTGGATGTTGGAACGGGCTGAATGGCTAGGATGCCTATCTCGGTACCTATAACAGAAGGACCAAATATGAATTAATACGTTTTTGGCTTGCTTGCTATCTAGAAACATCGACACACAGCCAAATGGATCGCAGATGTGCAGAAGAAACCTTGTGAGGAGTATTCCGCATGGAAGCACGTCTCCAAGAGGCTGTAACATCTCATTTTAGTTTTTAGAAAGATTGATACATATTCCTACTCACAAATACTCCGTTTTACGGTTTCAATTCACTCTTGGAACATCCCAAACTCTTCTTCGTGAACTACTCCGAACATTTCGGACAACTACCCATCATATCTGTTGGAAACAATCAGTTTGTCTTGCAGTGTGGAGAAATACAAATTTTATCTCATTATTAACACCTGAGGCGCCGGCGCTATACTGAACACGATGGAAAGACTATGCGCAAAATCGCATGCGCACACGACTCTAAAACATTAACTGTTATATCTAACTGAATAAGGCGAAACGTTATGTATGTGAAATAGACAGTTACCGTGATTTTCTCTCTATTACTAGTTAATCTCTTACATTTGTACATGTTACCATTTCCGAAGTTCACGGTTTCGATGATCCAGTGCCCCTACATAAACTGGACTTTCGGTCTGCGTTTTTCGTATGTTCCCATATGATTTGTGAGAGTTACACACGGTTTCTACCGTAGTTGTTGTTATTGGAGAGCTTTTACATTACGGCTTCAGTGCAGCCGGCTGTAGCCTGGGACATCGTCCTGCATAATACATACAGTTTGGTTCGGAACAGCATCGTCAGCTTCTGAAAAATTTGCTCTTGGGTCATCATCAATAAGGTTATAAGGTGTGCACTCTTACGTCACTAAAGTGATGCGGAGGAATGATTAAAATGTGAGTTGCCAAAAATAGCAAAAGTGCGCGCATGTAATTAATCATAGCATTCTGTTGCCATGGTGTGACGCATTGGTTTTGTTGGTCGCGCTGTACAAGCTTTGTTCTACTCGATATCACAGGTTGACTACCTCGAGTAGGAGCTTTCTGTAGTGAATTCCGGTAGTTATGTTTTGTACGATCTCTGTTCTACAGGATACGTTGAAACATGCTGCCCTAATAGTCTAGTAACTTCCTCGTCTTTCAACATTCTATCCGCCTTCAAATAAAACTCATTATTATCGCCAACCTCTTCCTTCATCTCGACGCGAACTGCTTGTTGTGCAGCAGTGTAACAATTCCTAACGTATAGGTAGAAATTCGTCACATCTAGACGCACTCAGACAGCCGCCACACGCCCGGAAAAGCACTGTACGCGCGTTTCATCCTTTCGGGAATCATCAGCAGTGCGCATTCCATCGGACCCTTGGTAGGGCTCGAACCAGCAACTCGACTGTTGCCAGTCCGTGGTTGAGACCACTGAGCTACGGGGGGACGGCAACGACCATCGTGATGAATTTCTACCTATACCATTCAACTCCCCCTACTACTCCTCTGCAATCAGTACGCAGACCAAACTGCTTATAATGCCATAAGATAATTGGCGGCTTAAGTTTGGTAAGCTCGTTGCTTGGTGAGGGGACTACCCTGTCCTCTGCACGGCAGTAACGTGTAAGTCAGTGGATAGTGAGCGGCGCTATATCACATCTAGTAACTTATTCACGATAGTCGTTGCCGTCCCCCGTAGCTCAGTGGTCTCAACCACGGACTGGCAACAGTCGAGTTGCGGTTTCGAGCCCTACCAAGGGTCCGATGGAATGCGCACTGCTGACGATTCCCGAAAGGATGCAACGCGCGTACAGTGCTTTTCCGGGCGTGTGGCGGCCGTGTGAGTGAGTCTAGATGTGACGAATTTCTACCTATACCATTCAACTCCCCCTACTACTCCTCTGTAATTCCTAACGTACTGTCCAAAGTGGTCTCGTGTGTATCCACGTCGGAGTCAAAGGGTATAAGGTCATGCCGCAATGCTTTCAATTCGCAAGTGATGACCTTCTTCTTCGTAAGACTAACTACGGCACAGTTCGTATCTCGTCACCTCAGTCGTTAAGTTTTGTAGTCGATACTCTTTTCAAGGTGCATAGCAAACCTCTGCTAACAAACTTTTCACTGATTTTCAAATGTTTTATGGGCTTTACACACTAAAGACATTGTAGGCGATTTTAGCTGATGTAGTCCTGCACTTATAAATCTTTCAAGTGATGTCTGTTTAACTAGCGTGAATCTCCGGCACGGACTAATAATCCGGGAGGTGCTTGTCTCTGTTTTGACATTATCTTACTCAAACATAGAGTATTTCGGTTTGATAAAAACTTTGTTGTTGGATAGTATTGTATATACGTCTAGATACATACATATGTATATATTTCATTAGGCGGGAGAGCCTATGGTGCGCTGAGGCTGGTGGTGGCTAGATCCTGACAGATGGTCTACCCACTGCTGCTGCTGTTGCGCCATTTGCTCATGTCCTGGGCGCCTCCACGTGGCGACCGCTGGGTGGGAGTTGGGTTTCGCCCTTCTCCCTGCTAAGATCCAGGACACCAATCCGCATGAGTCGGCTAACTGACCATGTGCTAGACTTGCTGCCTTTCGGGTGTTCATTTAATCGAAGGCTTTGGCTGAGGACCCGAGTCGTTCTCCTGTCAGGATTGGGCGCCCTGGCAGTATCCTAGTCCATCCTCTCCGGAGGTTAGGAAGTGGTCGATGGCCCTCTTCCCGTAAAACCTAGCCATGGGAGACAACAGGTTTACGGGTTATAATCTCACAGCTCGATTGGCGTAGAGCACGAGGGTCACGCATTGTCTCTGACGGTGGGAGGACACCTCCAGGTGTTCAATGGTTTGTTACTGCCCGCCTCAAGCCAGGCAGCCCCTGGTCAAATTGGTGCAAACCCGCCAAAAACCCACCTGCGTCTGGCCGTGGTCGCAGGTGCGTATCCAATTACGGTCGCAAAACATATGCTAATTGTTCCAGAACCTCAAAGGCTGCGTGTGACGGCCGTCAAGCAGATCCCAATCTGTCTCTGCAATCACATTCCCGAGCTGGATCTGCTCTCCACTGCCTTGTGGGTCAGGCTATTGAGCCAAAGGCTCCGGGTGGAGTCCCTCAAACAAACCTCCGAAGCACAACGACCACCTCGCGTGCGATTGCCCACCAATGCAATCGTATGCCTGCGCGCAAAGCACTCAGCATCGGGTGCTGGAACGTGCGCACACTACTGGACCGGAACTCGAGCGAGCGCCCGGAGCGACGCACTGCACTGGTCACAATGGAGCTGGCGCGCTACCACATCGATATTGCGGCGCTCAGTGAAACTCGGCTCGCTGAGCAAGGTAAGTTACATGAAGCAGGTGCTGGCTACACATTCTACTGGGTGGGCAACGCCGCCTCAGCACCACGTGAACATGGGGTCGGATTTGCAATATCCGATCGCCTGAATGGCCAACTGGTGGGTGAACCAACGGGCATCAGCGCGCGACTGATGACTGTTCGCCTACGACTCGGAAGAGGTAAGTTTGCTACTTTTATAAGCACGTACGGTCCGACCATGTGTTATCCTGATGACACGCGTGATCAGTTCTACACTGAGCTATCCTCCGTGATACGGTCTGTGCCGAGGAGCGACCGACTATTTCTGCTGGGTGACTTCAACGCGTGCGTTGGGCGTGATGCATCAGCGTGGACAGATGTTATCGGTTCGCATGGCATTGGTTCAGCGAATGCGAACGGTGACAGGCTGCTCTCACTGTGTGCCACTCACGGCCTGACGATCACGAACACTCGGTTTGCACTGAGTGCGAGTGATATAGCAACTTGGACGCACCCACGGAGTGGTCACGCTCACCTGCTCGACTATGTCATCGTACGTCAGCGTGATATGCGTGAGGTGCGCATGACACGTGTACTGCGTGGAGCTGAGTGTGGCACTGATCACAAATTGGTGTGGACCAAACTGTACATATATTTTCGTAAATCTATGTATTGCATTCCCGCCGTGAATCGGCGTAAATTTAACTTTCACTCCCTCGGTACTGTGGAGAAACGTATTGAACTGGAGTAGGCGATGGCTGCACGTGTGTGTGGTGTGGACTGCATAGCCACAGTGGGCGACCTGTGACACCACATTTGCGACCAGGTGACAGCTGCTGCCGAGGAGACCATCGGGCGCGCAAACTGTAAACGGCCTGATTGGTTTGATGACAACAATGTGACGATTGGCGCATTGGTGTCAGAGAAGAATGCAGCATTTGCTGCACATGTGGCAGACCCCAGTGACTTGGGGAAGAGTAGTCAGTTTCGCAAACTTCGACGGCGACTGACCCGAGAGCTCCGTCGCATTAAAAATGCATGGTGGACGGAGAAGGCGAAGCAGATGGAATGCTACGCCGAACGCCGCCAACACAAGAATTCTTTGACTCCTTGAAGGCGGTGTATGGACCGAGATTGGAGCCGCTGAGGACGCTGATCGATGGTAGTTCAGGCGCTACTGCACCCAGACTGCAGACATAATGCAGGTCTGGCGGAAAAACTTCGACTGTCTCTTGAAGAACCGTTCAGAGATCGACTGGCCTATATTGAACGGCCTGAAGCAGCACGATGTGAAGGCGAATCTGGCGGACACGCCGACACTGGATGAGACGCAGAGAGCACTTGCTCAGCTGCGAAATGGCAAATGTGCCGGAGGTGACGGGATCCCGCCTGAAGTATTGAAACACAGCGGACCCGCGTTAGTGACTGTGCTGCACCACTTGGTGAAACGCGTAGGGATTGAGGAGATGCCTCTTGAGCTGAAGGATGCCGCTGTACAAGGGTGGCAAGCAATGTACGAATTATCCTGGTATCAACTTGCTGAGTTGTGTGGGCAAGGTGATTGCCCGAATCCTGCTCAATCGCCTCGTGAGTCAGGTTGTGGAACCTAACGTGGCGGAAGAGCAATGTGGTTTCCGTTCGGGTCGCAGCACTATAGATATGGTGTTTGCGGCTCGTCAGTTGCAAGAGAAGTGCAGAGAACGACACCAGCCATTGTACTCGCTTTTTATTGATTTCATCAAGGCATTTGATGCCTTAAACCGTGTGGCATTGTAGCTGGTGTTGGGTAAGTTTGTTGCCCGCGTAAGTTTGTAAGTTTAATTGAATGTCTGCACAGTGGTATGCGAGCGAGGGTGCAGCTGAGTGGAGAGACCTCGGATGACTTTGCAGTTGTCTCTGGTGTGAAGCAAGGCTGTGTCTTAGCTCCTGCCCAGTTTAATATCTATCTTCATGCAATGATGTCTTGTGCTTTTGATGCGGCTTGTGCTTACGGTGTTCGTGTGGAGCACCGTATTGATGGTGGGTTGCTGAACATCCGTCGTTTCGGTGCGAGAACTCTAGTCTGTGAGACAACTATCCGTATGTTGCTGTTTGCTGACGACTGTGCGTTGTTTTCACACAGCGCGGATGAGTTGCAGCACATGACTAGTGCTCTGGCTTCGACAGCGGCCAAATTCGGGCTCACCATCAACACAAGCAAAACTGTCTGTCTCTTTCAGCCTTCCCCGGAGGTGCAATCTTTAATATTGCCGCGAATCAGCATTGGGGCTGAAGTATTGGAAACCACCTCCCGCTTTTGCTACCTAGGGAGTGTGATGTCGACTGATCAGCAGCTACACGTTGAGTTGCGTATTCGCGTGTCGAAGGCGGCAGCGGCATTCGGGAAGCTTGAGTACCGAGTGTGGAACAACCATCAGCTTAGCATTGGCACGAAGCTGATGGTGTACAAATCCATGATACTGTCCGTTCTTCTATACGGCAGTGAAACGTGGACGATATACCGTCGGGATGTGCGATATCTCGAGCGGTTCCATCAACAGTGTCTGCGACGGATTTTGCGGATCGCTTGGGGCGACAGAGTTGCTGACACGGAAGTGTTGCGCCGAAGTGGATGTATGCAGTGGACTGCATACTTTTACTGAGACACCTGAGATGGCTCGGTCATGTGAGCCGTATGGATTTGACGCGGATACCGAAACAACTTTTATACGGTCAGCTGAGTATTGGGAAGCGGCATGTGGGGAAACCAAAGTTACGTTACCAGGACATGATCAAAGTGAGCCTCACACGTTCTAATCTTGATTGCAGATCATGGGAATCGAAGGCGGTTGATCGTGGTGCATGGCGCGATCTAATCACGAAGGCAGTTGCTGAAGTGCGGGAGAAAGCCTTCATGCATGCAGAGAAGAAGCGGCAAGTGCGGAAGCGGCAAGCACCAATGAATTGTACTCCATCGACATCGAGCGCATGGTGCTATAGAACATGCGGTCGCGAGTGCCTTAGTCAGACAGGCCTAATGAGCCATGAGAGAGGTCACTCGGGACCACTGCCGAAGCGACGACGGGTCCCGCAGTGAACGTAGGCAGCACCGGCGCAGCGTTTGTAGGCACGCTGAATTCGATTTACTAACCGCATGCTTGCACGCTAAGTCTCTTTATTTCAGGTGGTGGGTTTTCGGTTCTCTCCTAATGCCTTTCTTTCTCATATAAATGTCTAGTGGGCCATGAGCTAGGCCCTTTGGGGGCACTACAGAAGCGACGACGGGTCCTGCAGAGAATTACGGCGAGCCGGCGCAGCGTTTGTAGGCACGCTGAATTCGATTTACCAACCGCGTGCTTGCATGCTAAGTCTCTTTATTTCAGGTGGTGGTGTTACAGTTTTTACCTTAATGCTTTTCTTTCTCATATAAATATCTCCCTGTAATTTCTTCCATTAACTTTCACACCTCGCCTAAGCCAATTGTATTCGATTTCCATAACATTTTTGTGTTCGTGGCATTCCGTGAACTATACTTTCTGACTTCGTGCACTTAGCTAGGATTTGTTTGTCAACAACTTATTGCACATGCTATTTAATTAAGGTTTATATCACCGTTTCCTTATGCATTAATCAAGTTTTTCTCTTTTTCTCTCTCTCTCTCTCTCTCTCTCTCAAGTGTTTGGCTGTTGTTTGATATCCCAGGTGTGGCTGCGCTTGATGTGCATGTTGACAAGGTGCCTACCTGTCTATTACCCACTACCTCGTCCATACTGGCTCCAGGAGACAGTTTGTCGATGCTGGTGGGCACGGAGTGCACTGTCCTTGTGGCTGTGTTAGGATCAAAGAGTGGTTCCATGTAGTCAGTGTGGAGCGGACTACGGTCCAGCCACCGCCTTGGGTGCGCTTGATTTCCCCAAATACAATGTGCTTGTGTTTGCCTCTGATGGAGTATGGGCCGGCTTCGTTGATGAAACGTGGTTCCCATCCGCATGCCCCCAGGTCTTATTCCTTCTGGTTTACACTGGATATGGGGTGTGTGGATGGAGCTGTGGGTGGTGCAGCGCAAACCATCCATGGTCCCTCTGTAGGCGCAGGTGTCCTGTGGCTGGTCACGTTGACAGGTAAATCCGATACCGGATGCCGCCAACCAGATATTTCATGAGCAAAACTTATTAAATACAAACCCTCGTGCGTTTCACTTGCATGTTTAACAATCTGGATGCGCTGTGATCATGATAACGCTGCCCCAGTTACGGTCATTAAAATTATTTTTTAGACATGTATAGGTTCGTAGACTTACCAGTAGGGGCATCCTTCTAGCTGATGCTTGTCCGGGTACCTGACAACGAAGTATTTTTCCCCTGGCTTCGTTGTGCAAATTCAGCAATTGTGCTCTCCAATCCACTGGAAGATATATGGTAGCTTCGTTCACCAAGAGCATTGTAGACACGAAAATGATCATGCATGGTGTTTTCATCCTCGAGTGTTTGATAGCTTAACAGGGTAAATAGTAACACGCTGTACAGGAGTTATCTAAATATCAGACACAAAGTTGAGTGAATCCCCCGTCACGTGTAAGGAATGGTTTAAAGGTCAAGAGAAGTTCGTCAAGGGACAGGATTGATTGGCGACCAGCGTAGTGAATCGGCTAGGTGCGTTTTAAGTGGCAACGCTTACATCTGATCTCAAAAGTCTTCCACCGATGGAAGTAAACCCCAGCGGAGGAAACGAAAAGAAGGTCACATTAACTTTAGCTTCCTTATGCCACGTGGCTGGCACCGCGTGACAGCAGCAGATTAAGGTCAAACGTTTTGTCTCTTGCATTAATCGAACTCAACTCACAAATCACCATGGATAAAAGTACAAAGAAATCGCTGTCCCGGTGTGTGGATCAGGCGTTCTCAGGTGAAGTCCAACTATCCACCTACCAAACTTAGCGGTTCGTCTGGAATGTTCCGTTGTCTGATATCGCTCAATGGATTCATGACCTAATATTCCGTCCTCTTATTAACAAAGCAACCGAACTTCAATGCCTGATAATTAGCGGTAGCGTTTGGCGCAAATCGGCGGAGTGAGCACAAAAGTTTCGTAATCCGGCTTTTCAGCAGATATTAATCAAGTCAATATCAGCTTTACAGAAGAGTAGAAGGGAGAGTTGTATGTTATATGAAGAAATTCATCACATCTAGACGCACTCAGACAGCCGCCACAAGCCCGGAAAAGCACTGTACGCGCGTTGCATCCTTTCGGGAATCGTCAGCAGTGCGCATTCCATCGGACCTTGGTAGGGCTCGAAACCGCAACTCGACTGTTGCCCGTCCGTGGTTGAGACCACTGAGCTACGGGGGACGGCAACGACCATCGCGAATAAGTTACTAGATGTGATATAGCGCCGCTCACTATCCACTGACTGCCGTGCGGAGGACAGGGTAGCTCCCTCAACAAGCGACGAGCTTACCAAACTTAAGCCGCCAATTAACTCATGGAATTATAAGCAGTTTGGTCTGTGTACTGATTACAGAAGAGTAGTAGGGAGAGTTGAATGTTATAGGAAGAAATTCATATAAGCTTTGCTTACACATGTCGGAGAATTCTCAACAATGTACACTAACATTACGGAAATATTACAACGTCGCATTAGTGTGAAAAAATGGAAAGTGACGAAGAAGCAAAAAGGGTTCCCTTTCAATCAAACGAACAGCCTCCTAGCTGATGCATCATTGTCATCAAGCCGAATGACAAGCATGACAGGTTGGAGGAGATTGGATTTCGATATGACAAGAACATAAATATTAACTAAAATAATAAATTCGTACATATACAGACAAACGGTATACGGCCTTATAAGCAGGAGCAATCATTTACATAGAAAAGAGCTTTCAAGCTTTGTGCGACATAAAATTATAATAATAAAACAAATGTGAGGAATCGAATTTCTGATCATGCATTTTCCTTCGGATCCTAGACATAATCAGTAAAAGGTACTGATTTTTTATCATCGTTTTCTAGTTTGTGAGAGTTAGGAGTAGGTAGTAATCGCACAGACACAAGTCTAGTATTGTGAGTAATGCTATGGAGTGGGTAACCTGATTGACAATCAACTATCAGTTCATATGTTATTTATGCCAGCTTCCGTCAATGTTTCTCGATCGTTGTGAGTCAACGATTTTCCACATGTTTGATATAGTGCGGAAAGTCAGTAGGGAATTTCGGAATATGACATACGTTTTACTCATGCCAATCTCACCAAGAAGAAATTCGATCGAGTCTTTTGACTTGCAAGCTTTGAGAATAGCAAGCAGCCACCATTTCGTGTGGAGTAGATTGCAATCTTCCGCAGTGCGGTGCCATCTGCGTAAATTCGTTGGTTAGTAAAGTTGTAGCAGAGAACGAGGTTGTTCTTTAAGCGTCTCAGCAATACAGTAACCATGTGGAGTTTTCGACACCGATCAATACAACTCAGGTTTGAACAGCGCCCAATGACCAGCTTGGTAAATGATTGTTGGACATTTTCCAGTTGCTCAGTCTTCCTTTCTCGTTTGGCTGTGGATGAGTAAACTATTCCAGAGTCGGTCGTACCGTAAATGTTTGATGACGTAAGTCGTGTTTCAGACAGGCAGAAAGTGCTGGCAAGGTATTCGCATTAGTGCCGCGTTTTTGAAACCTGATAAAACACATGTTCGAAGAAATGGAAAGAGTTGGAGTACCAAGCTCCAAAGTCCAGATCTGAATCAAATGTTGGGATCACGTTTTCGGCAAGCATGATAGATCCTTCATCAATGCGGCACGCGTACCCAAGTAGTTGGGATTTTACTGCGAAGCACTTAATTTACGAACGCTCACTAGCTATAGTTAGCAAGGATGGGTCTTCACAGATGCTTCCCAAGCATATTTTTAGTTGGTCTGGATGAAAGTGGTGGACCAGTTTGACGTGATCTGCAATCAAATATTTGCTTCCGTGTTCCCTCGGGTCGCATGTGCTGTTTACGTAGAGTAGGAAAAGTAGTGCTTTGAGCACACTTCACTGGAAGGAGTCACTAGTTCTTTGTTTGGGCGTAAAGTATTGCTGACCGATTCTAACTATCGTGCTTCGATCGTTTAGCTATGAGTCGAAGCAGATAAACAGAGAAATTCCACTGTCATTTGAATCTAGAATGGACAGCAGTGGATTGTGCGGCACGCGGTCGAACGCCTTTTGTATGTCGAACAGAATTATACTAGCTGCCATTCCTCTGTCAATCATGGTTGTGACGTGATCGAGAAATTGTAGCTGGCATGTAACGCAGAAGCGTTTTGAGAGAAAGCCATACTGTGAGAAATCGATCAAATTCAATCTTGTGAGAAATTGGACAAAGTTCCTTTGAACAATTCTCTCTAGGGTAGGAATGTTCAAAGTCCGGCCTGCGGGACAAATACGGGCAGCGTTAAGGTTTCAACTGGCCCGCGGCCTCACTACAAATGAACAATGAACAATGAACAATGAATTTATACTGGTTAAGAAGCGTTGCTTTACAAGCCCCGTTGGATAGTTGGTGGGGATATCAACATAATAATTATGATGAAAAGGATAGTAAAATAGTTAACACTTTAATACGAAAATAAGGACTTATCGTTTGCTTCGCTGCAGTCTTGCGATCCACTTAGATTCACAACACCCACAGTTAACAACAAATAATTCCAGGGTAAACTCCAGGTGTAGGATGGAGACATAGTGTTAAGTAACAAAATGTAAGTGGATGAGTGCATCGTCCAACCGTCTTTTAAATATTGTTAATGTCGGTGCAGAGACGACCGATTCTGGGAGAGCATTCCACGGGTGACAGACACGGATGGAAAAGAAATTTCTGCGGCACTCCAGACGACTGTATTGTTCTGCGAGTTTTAATGAGTGGCCCCTCAGGTTTGTATTGCTGCTGAGTTGCAGTAAAGGGCGGCACACATGATGTGGGTCTCGCAGAATCAAGTATGTCATAATCAGGTCGCCTCGTAGCCTGCGATAGCTTCCACTGAACAATCCTATTTGTCGCAGCCTCTCCTGGTAGGACAGATTGCGCATTCCAGTTACGTTCTTAGATGCCCGGCGTTGAGGCTGCTCCAGTGCATTATGGTCGTGTTTCAGCCATGGATGCCAGGCTTGAATTACGTATTCGACATGGGGGCGAACATACGCACTGAGCATTTGTCGAAATATGGAGCTGTTTATTTGTCCAAATGCCCGCCTCAACAGTCCAACGTGCTGATTCCCGGTCTTCGAGGCCTTTTCCGATTGCTTGGAGCAACTCAAGTCATCTTGAACCAGCACACTCAAGTCACGTTCGAGAGTTGATTGTTGCAGTACATCCGTCCGAGTCGGTATGAGTAGCTGCCCTGATGTCGGATGGAAAGCACCTTGCATTTACTGACGTTGAAATGCAATAAGTTTTGGATCGACCATTGATACACTGTATCTAAGTCACTTTGGAGCACATGTTGGTCGGCGTTCGCCTGGATCCTGCGCCAGATCTTGATATCGTCGGCAAACATTAGGAAGTTTGAAGCGATTCCCTGTGCAAGGTCATTAATAAACACCAGAAACAAACGTGGACCTAGAACCGAGCCTTGCGGCACACCACACTCGACTTGTATGGGGTCCGATAAAGAGCTCGAACTCTGACCACTAATTGCCTTTGAAATAGAAAGTTGGCGATACAGCTTAAAAGAGGGTCGCCGATCCCGTAATGCTGCAGCTTGGATAGAAGTATCCGATGGTCTAGACGATCGAAAGCCTTGGAAAAATCCAGTAGATCACATCAACACCTTCTCCAGCGTCCGCTGCCTCGGTCCAACTACTGCGTGCAATTAGTAAATTAGTTGTACATGACCGCTGTCCACGGAAACCATGCTGTTCAGGAGTGATGAGGTTGCAGTTTTCCAGATAGCACACCAGTGCATCGGCAACTATAGATTCCATGACCTTAGATAGTATAGGAAGAAGGGTTACTGGGCGGTAGTTGGAGGGATCAGATCTGCTTCCACCTTTGTGAATCGGGCTTATTATTCCAAGCTTCCACATGGCGGGAACTTGGTTCTGGTCTAAGCAGTGCTGGAAAAACTGAGCTAAATGTCCTGCCAGTTGGTTCGCTGCTACTCCCAATGCCTCAGGACGAATGGCGTCGACACCCGGCGAGCTGTGTTTGCGTAGAGAGGTCAGCTTTTGCAATACAGCCTCTGCGGTAAAATTGATGTGGGTTAGTCCTGGTGAGCAGAAGACAAAGCTTGGTAGATCGCTTGGTGGCAAGACCGTTTGAAACTTGGGGCGTATTGCATCTGCAGCGCGTTTGCAGCTTCCATAGACGTGCTTGTTAAGCCATCAGCCGTCTTGAGTGGAGGAAATCCTTGCCTCACCTTTCGTAGGCTATTAACGTGCTTGTACAGCATTTTGTGATTAACGCTGAAGGGTTTTGTGTTGTTCTGCTGATATACGGCTTTGTCTTCTCTTAGCACTTGAATGCAGTGGTTACGTTGCTTTCCGTAACTGCCCCAATATTCTGGTGCTGGTGCTTCTCTGTACACTCGCCATGTTGCGTTGCGTACTGTCATCCATTTTCGGGTTCTGCTCCTAACGAAAGAAACGGATTTGCACTTATTGTAAGCTTTTATCTCTGAAGCCTGTGCAATCAGCTGACTGAATGTGTTGACGAACTCGAGCCAGGCGACTTCTGGGGGTTCTTCTTCGAGGAAAGACCATGTTGTGGCGCT